TCTCTACATAATAGGTCACAAACATGAATAATATTCCATTATAATACAATTACATCTATAACCATAGCAACACAATCCAAGAGGACTTAATTTTCTTACAGCAAATAACAGTCTGATTTTATAAAGCTAAGTAAGCTCTTGAGCTGACAGACACAGATGAAACATCCTTACTTGGTTTCAGTTCCAGAGAGCCAACAGGAGAAGGTCTACTAAATTTAGACTCTGAGCTGATTTCATCACTAACCTGTCCTGAAAGAGGTCTCTGCGGAGAGAAGAAAAAAGGCCAGGGGACAACACACTAGGATGGGATTAACCTATTTAAGAGGCACAGACTGCAGTCAGAAATGGTCACAAAGAATATTCTGCTAGGCTCACAGCACCTGTCCAGGCCCCGGGGCATGGCAGATAGCCGCACCTTTGTGAACCCAAGTGTTTCTGGGAAGACTCGTCCTTCCAGAGAGCCATCAAGGACCCAGAATTGTATATGTGACTACAGTGACTGCAATATGACCAGCTGAATCTAGAAGCTTTCCCGGAAGAAAAAAAAAATACAAGAAACTTGATCCAAGACAGAACTTGAAATAATTTAGAGAAGCACAAATTGAAACTGAATCAAATACTGATCGTGTTTCTTTTTAAGCTAGTGAAGAAAACACCTACATTTTTCCATCTGAAAAAATAGTTTAATTTCAATTAAATTTTACTAAAATACTAAAATGCTCAGGAAGATAACTGAGCTGTTAGCCAGCATGGTGACAGTCCAGGCAGTGCCCACCTGACATGCGGTTTGTGTCTCTGAAGGTGTAAAAAGTCAGCAGTTGGCTGGTCCTGCGGAATGGGTGGGAAGGAGTAAGGGAGAGTCGCACAGAGAGGACAGGCAGTCTGTGCTGGGCTTTGGAGGAATGGGAGAGCCACTGGCCGCAAGGGGGCTGGGCAAGCCCCGGTAGTGACTCAGCAGCAGACCCAGTGGCTTTGCAGCTTAGATCCCCGTAGGCAGGAGAGGCTGGGGACACAGAAAAATGGAGGCCAAAAGTTTCAAAGGAGGTTTCATGTATGAGAACAGGGGAAGCAGGCTGCAGAGGAAAAGGAAAAGGGACATTTCTTCCACCCCCATCAAATTCCTCTTCCCATTTCTTCCTGTTCCTCTCCATATAGCCTGCTACCTTTGTGGTCAACTCCAACATGGTGTCTCAAGTTGTTAAAGCTGTTTTTTCTTTTTTTTCTTTCTGGATTTTTAGCACCATGCTGTCCATCCTTCCTCTTGAGTACCTTATAGAATATTCACTGGTTTGAGCTGGTACTGAAGCAAAAACAAAGTATCTCACTCCACAAAAAGCTGTGGGAATTTTATAAAGCAACTGAACCACAACCTAGTATTTTGAAGCTGAATCAATCTTGTGTTTCATGGGGTTCAATCCCCTAATTCAACTGTGGGAAATCCACAAATACTGTTCATTTTTACAACAGATTTAGGTGATTACAGGTATATGTGCACATCCACTGTTATACTGCTGTCCATTTACACAGCCTCTTCTTTCACCTGAAAGGTAAAGGCTGCTTTTCACAAGAAATGAAGGCACACTAAATACGCATATGATTCTGGGACCCAGATTTACTGTTCAAAGGAAATTTTCATAAGGTTACATCCGTGGAATAAAATAACAGGAGATAAGAGTGAGTCATTTCATTGTTTTGCAACTCACTGCAATCTATCTCCAAGTGTTAGGCCTTCTCACACCACCTCTCTTTTAAGATGCTTATATACAAATCAATGTCATATAAAGGCAGAGAATCCTGAAGAAAAAGGAACACAAATGTGAAGCAGTAGGTTGCTTCTCTATGAGCTATAAAGAAAAGCTGACATCAGGTTTAGTACTAGCTGGAGGGAGATCTCTTAGCTGGAAATAAAAAAGAAAATAATGCAAATGGGAAAAAAAAAAGCCAAAGGGGAACTGCCAGAATTAGAGCATAAGTCTTTCACAAAAAGAAATAATTTTACTGAATAAGGAAAAAATCAGTTTAAATGTGTGAAGTTATTTTGTGTTTTCCCACAGCATACTAAAATACAACCACACACAGTACACTGAAGTCACTAAAATAAAAGTTGAAGAAAAAACTATTAGCCAAGAATTTGACTACTTGTAAGTACGATGAGGAGAAATCACTTAGTGATTTGTTCTTATCCTAACAGCGCTGTCCTAGCTGCCTTAAAGGTCTTATTGAACAATGAAGGGTATAAATAAATAAACTCATAAATCAATAAATAGATTGCTTCTTCCTGCTAAATGCCACTGAAGAAGGGAAGAGTCACAGACTAAATTATGAATGAGGAAACTGTGCCCGATAGGTTTTGGATATTTTAACTTTATTTCTTGTGGTTTGGGGTTTCTCTAACATGCACTGTAAGCTCTTTGCTACAGCACAAAAGTACTGGGGTGCTTGTTAAAATAGAGATTTTAGGCTTCACATCCAGAGAAACTGATTGAGAAGGTCAAGGATCCTAAGAATCTACATTTTAAGGAGCCCCACAGGAGATTATAAATGCATATGGTCTACAGTTTGAGGAAAGTACTACCTAAAATTGAAGACCTGTCTTTGTACTACACGGATTAACATGATTTAGGCAAAAAACATGTTAACCTCTATCCTACAGTTTTTTGAGCCAAAAACTGTTTCAGAGCAGGAAGGAACCTTTAAATCTACTTTATTCTTCAGAATCATCAACCTTGTAGCCTTAGGGAGCCAGTGAGTTATCTTAATGAAAATTACCTGTTCAGGAGTGACCAAAATGGTTTCTAGCAGGTTTCATCAAGCTGCAAGTGGCTGTAAAATGCATACCAATGCTTTAAGAGAACTCTACAAGAATCTTTCACAAAGGCTGCTGAAAATTTTGTGGCATTTGCTTTATTAGAAATGCGAAAGATGAGCAAAGAAATTACTTACATCTATTACTACTCTAAAAATTCTGATTGCCTTCTCATTGCATTTGCTAGCAAAAACTCTCCATGCTTATTACAGAGAAAATGCTGTTCACGGGCTCATCTACCACTGAACTCCTTCCTTCCCATCTCTTTTCTTGATAACCAACCCTATTCCCCTTATCCACATGTGCATACGCCCACTTTGAGAGTAAGATACACCTTTCTGTCTTTGCCCCTAGCAGTTGCAAACGGATTTTCATGCACCCTGCAGCAAGCATTTCTGAGTGAACGGTATGTGTCAGTCACCGTGGAGAAATGGAACTAGTAACAATGACGGTACTGAAAGAGTGTGCACTGTTAACAAGGGGATTGCTAACAACAGAAAACTCTGGGGTTCCCCCTCCCCCCAGCAAATTAAAAGTAAAATGCTGGAGCACTCTAGAATGCATAGCAAGAATAGTACCATAAAATGTGACTGTGTAGAGATCTGCAGTTGAGTGAGATGTAACAGGGGCTGTTGCCAATAGTGACTATTGGGGTCATTTCAACAGGCCAACAATACAGACTTCGCACATCACCACAGTCTATGCCAGCTTTTCTTCAGCTTGTACTCAAGGGCAAAGAACTGGTTGGTGAGCATCCATTATTGATCTCACAAATCACAGGACTTAGGTTTGAGGCCTGGGCGCAGGGAGGGTGAGTGAGTTAATGCCTTAGCTCTAGCCAACCTCACTGTGTTCCTTGGGAGACAAACAATCATGGGAGAAGACCTGTCAATACTAGTGAAAGTCTGTCCTCTAGAGTGTTCTCAAATCTTGACCTGGACAAAGGAGAATATAGTCACTGGAGGGTGGTGGACTCAGGCTTATCTGCGGGGGACCCTGGGGACTTTCCAAATTCTGACTACACTTCATGAAATCTCCTTACACAGGCCCTCCTGGGAAAAACAGGAGGGGTCTTCCCCTGTACGAGCTCAACCTGCTAACTCCTCCGTTATCTGTTATGTCTTGCGGAATTTCATGAGAACACACTTCAGGAATATTTCCTAATACCATTTTCATGTCAGAGCCAGAGAGGAAATCTCTTACCTGTAAGTTTCCACAAGAAGAAAATACTTCCTATATCCAAAGGAAGACTTTCCCTGATAAATACTCTAAAAATGAATTACTTTACCATGGGCACGTTTTTATAACATGCTCCTACTTTATCACTGAAGTCAAATCTTCATTTTTTTTTTTTTTTAGTATATGTGCTGCCAAAGCGAGCACTTCATTTTTTTTTAAACTCAACGTGCATTCCCTGCAGACCTACTTTATACCAGGCATGGTGCAAGTACCTGACGATACCTGCATCTGATGAAGAATAAAACTCAGTCCTGTCCTCAAGGACTTCTGGTGCCTTCAGGGGAGCAGGAGTTGGACCTTCTAACACAGCATGGTCAAGTCTTACTCTGGAAGAGTGGGCACAGTGTTTTGGGAGATCTGGGGAACTCTTCAGAGGGGTGACAAGAGTCAGTGAGATTTTAACACAAATGAAAAGAAGAAAGACCTTTTCAGCAAAGGGAGCATGAAAAAAAGTTATGGGATGCAAAAGGCAGTCTGTAGGGAACCCAAGAGTATTTTGTAGGACTGAGGTATGGGGAGAGACGCAGAAATTGAGGAGCTAGGATGCAGCAAAAACAGAAAAACCTTTATCGGCCATGAAAAACAATGAATTTTATCCTGTAGGAAGGACAAGGTGGAGCCTGGGAGGTTTTTTAAGTAGGGGCTGCAAGACCCAATCTGTGTTTTAGGAACAGAAGCGTGGTTGCTGATGCAATGACTGAGAAGCGCCCAGAAGACCAAGAAGAAGGCATTATAGAGACCGTTTGTAATAGATGTTGGGACTGTTCTATGCTCTTAGATGCCCACGGTCATTTCCCTCTGCATGTTCTTTGGTTATATCTGAGTTTTTCCCCTTTAATTATATATCAATACTGGTATTTTTTTCTACCCAAGATGCATCATCTGTGGTTCATAAAATAACATTTCACATGAGTAAACACTTAGGTAAATACATTCTTAAAAAAGAATCCCTTACCTGAACAAAGCTGTTCCACTTTTGTGTAGTTTAAAGATACTATGTCATTAACCCATGCGATGATGTCATGTCTGCTCATAGTCTCTTGGGTTATCGAGGTAGAATACACATTGACCGCCATTCCCCAACTAGAAAAAGACAAATAAGGAAAAAATTAACTCTGAAACATAAAAGGTCAGGACCCCTGGCAGGACTCTAAGGGATGGAAAAGGCCTGCTTCAGCTGAGCCTTTTCTCTTCTCTCTCTCTTCCACATATTTGCTGAGATACAACTAAATTTCACATATTGTTCATGCAGTACCACTCCACATTCCCACCTGCTGCTGGACTCCAAGGTTTTTTAGGTTCTGAGATATCTATTTTCTCATGTAACTTGGTCTCACCGTGTGTGGTATTAAAAAGTTATCAGGTCTGTTAAGAGCATGCACCGGAGTCACCTTTCATCTTTCTGCGTAACTTCATCATACTTTCATGACTTGTCAACAGTGCCCCTTCGCACACTCCTTGGAGATGTAAACGGGAGCTCCGTTGTATTCAGTTGCTCAGGCTATAAACACCATGCCCATTCTTGCCTCCTCTGTTTCCCTCACCACCACATCCAATCCATCAGCAAATTCTACTGGCTCTACCTTCAAAGTAGAGCCAGTCTTTCCCACTTTGGTCAATGCTCACCTGACGCTTTGCAGTAGTCTTTTCCTGGGTCTCCCACCATGCACCCTTGCCCCTCCACCCCCACGTATTCTCAGCACAGCAGCCAGAGTGATCCTAGTTGCAAAATCAGATGCTCTCTCTCCTTAGTTTAAAACCCTCCAATGGTTGCTCATCCCACAGTACAATTGAAATTCTTACCAAGCTTTAGCTGGCCTGATATATTCTGACACCTTTCCTTACTACCCTCTCCCTCACTCCACTCCATCAGGACAACCTCCTGGTTTTCTTTAACTCCTCAAGCTCACTTCCTCTTCAAGCCTTTGTACTGCTGTGGCTTCAGCTAGGTCCATTCCCCAGTTTTGAGGTGCATGCCCTCACTTCCATCTCCTATTCTTCTTCTCTTCATAGACCTAGGAGAGAAGCTCCACGAGGGCAGGGATTTTGTTCATTTTATTCTTTGTATATCCCTGGTGTCTAATTCAGTTCCAGACGCAGAGCAGGCTTTCAATACAAATGCTGAAAGCAGGAATGTGCTCCCCCACCCCCCTCCCATGTAAAGTAAGCAGGGCAGTAGATAAGCTAGGTAAGCTATGTACTTTTTCTTTAATCAGCTTTGGAGAAATTCACTTTAGAAATGGGCTTCATATAAGTTTCATTCGAAAAAAAATCCTCAATCTGGTATTCTCTATTTCTAAAAGCTTTGGACAAAGCTTTTATAAAAATATATAAAAACATTTGAATAATTTGAAAGACATGTACTGTCTAATTACAATGAGTCTTCCCTTTAATTTACTCCTTCTGTTTCATGACACCTATTTCCCCAACTTTTCATCAGAGTGATATATATAGAAAAAGTTTTGCTTAAAATATTTTGTTATCTATAGTTCTGTGTAATTAGTTTCCTTTTTTTAAATTAATAAACTTTATGTTTGAGTTCTTCATAGCAAAATTGAATGGAAGTAGAGTGTTACCATATACCCCATTTTCCCCACATACACACAACCTCCATCACTATCCACATCCCATACCAGCTGCTACATTGTTACAATCAATGAACCTACACTCATGCACTATCATCACCCAAAGTCTGTGGTTTACAGTAGGGTTCACTCTTGGTGTGTACCTTCTACGAGTTGTCACAAATACACAATGGCATGTATCCACTATTTTAGTGTCATACGGAGTAGTTTCACTGCTCTAAAAATCCTCTCTGCTCCGCTGATTTATACCTTACCCCCAGCAATCTCTGGCAACCATGGATCTTTTTACTGTTCCATAGTTCTGCCTTTCCCAGAATGCCATGCAGCTGGAATCATACAGCATGTAGCCTTTTCAGATTGGCTTCTTTCACTGAGTAATGTGCGGTGAAGGTTCATCCATGTTGTTTCATGGCTTGATACCTCATTTCTTTTTAGCACTGACTATTCCACTGTCTGAATGTACCACTCAGCTAATGAAGGACATCTTGGTTGCTTCCAAGCTTTGGCAATTGTGAATAAGCTGCTAAAAACATCCATGTGCAGGTTTTTGTGTGGACATAAGTTTTCGATTCATTTGGGTAAATACCAAAGAGCATTACTGATGGATTGTATGAGAGTATGTTTAATTTTATAAGAAGTTACTAAACTATCTCAAGTGTCTATCCAAAGTGGCTGTACCCATTTTGACTTCCTTCCAGCAATGAATGAGAGTTTCTGTTGCTCCATATCCTCACCAGCATTTGGTATTGTCAGTGTTTTGGATTTTGGCCATTCTAATAGGTGTACACTAGTAAAAAAAATTTTTTTAACATTTAAACCTGGTTGAAACTTTGCAATTTTACTAATTCTGTGCAACATATAATACTTAAATCTTTAAAAAATTATGTATTTATAAATACAAAAGAAAGAGTGCGCATCAGGGAGGGGGCAGGAGAGAGAACGAGAAGTTCAAGCAGATTCCGCACTGAGCATGGAGGCAGACGTGGGGCTCAATCTCATGAAACTGAGATTATGACATGAGCCAAAATCAAGACTCAGACGCTCAACCAACTGAGCCACTCACAGGCCCTTACTTACATAATTTTATGTGAAATGTGTGTATCAACTTTTATTTTGAAAAATTTTACTTTAAATATTTTATTTATTTGACACAGAGCGAGCATGAGCAGGGGGAGTGGCAAGCAGAGGGAGAGGGAGAAGCAGGCTCCCCGCTGAGCAGGGAGACCAATGCAGGGCTCGATCCCAGGAACCTGGGTTCATGACCTGAGCCAAAGGCAGATGCCTAACCAACTGAGCTACCCAGGCGTCCCCCCAAATTTTATATATATAAAACTTATTGTGAAAGTTTTTTGATACATCAAAAAACCAGCTGTGTTTATAATCTTTGCTTCAAGTTATCAATATTGGTCAATTCTGTTCCATTTATACTAGTCAGTACTTTGTCCCAAATCCTACCCTCCGTGCCCCAAGCCAGTTTGTTTTGAAGTGCCAAGCATCTTATTGTTTTGCTACAAGTATTTCAGTATGTTTCTCTGAAAGATAAGGACATTAAAAAAACTCTAGCATGATCACATCTGAAAATAAAAATAATATCAAATATGCATTACAATGTCTTATAATTTTTTTCAGTTTGTTTGAATCTGGACAAATAAGTTTTAGACATGATTCATTGATATGTACTTTAAATTTCTTTTATCTGTAGATTTCTCCTCCATTTCTAATATTTTCTTTTTTTTTTTTAATTGTTGAAGGAACTGGGTTGTTTTTTTGTATAGTTTCTATGATCTGGATTTTGCTCACTGTATCCCATTGGTGTAGTTTGACATATTCCTCTATCCCTTGGGTTCCTATAGATGGGTCATTTGATCTACAGGCCAGAGAGGATTCAAGTTCTAATTGGGGGTTTGGAGGCAGGACTACCTTGCAGTGTTTGAACTCCCCTCAGGAGACACATAATGTCTGACTCCCTTTGGGACATCGTTAGCTATTAATATTTGTTTAGATCCACCAATTCTTTAGAGACTTCAGAGTCATATTCTATTATTCATTTTTGATTACCTAGAATAGTTCTATAAAGAGAAATTTCCCAAGTATTGGTCACATAACAAAGACAGGACAGATGCCTGATTTATTTACCATTTTTCAAAATAATGAGGTAGTTCTCTACTATTCTCCAAACATGACTAATGAGGTTTTTATTTTTGAAGTGGAATTATGAACTCATAGCAAGTATGTTTCAATCCACGTCTCAACTGACCACAGTTTAAATCTTTACTGGTGTGAGCTTGCAAGAACTTATTCAAGCTGGTTTTTTAGTTCTTCTGACAAGGTCCCAGTAGTCTTTGATCACTTCCTTGCTTTCTGGTATGACAAAATGTTCCAGGCCCAACTTGGACATTTCCTGCCTTAGACACAAAACCAGTTATTTCTTCTAAGGGTTCCTTATTTCTGTAGTCACAAATGGTATTGAGAAATAAATATTTTTAAGCATGGCTATATAAGACAGAAAAATCTTGTTTTACACAAAAATCTATGTAAAAGAGTTGTGTTTGGAGTGCTTATTATGTTTATTGCAATAAAAATCTGCTTTCTACCTACTGTGCTAAATGCAGACTTTTTTTTAAAGATTTTATTTATCTGAGAGACAGAGCATGAGGAGGGGAGGGGCAGCAGGCAGAGGCAGAAGCAGACTCCCTGGCTCAGCAGGGAGCCCAGTGTGGGCTCGATCCCAGGACCCTGAGATCATGACCTGAGCTGAAATCATATTCTTGACTGAGCCACCAGGTACCCCAAAGATTTTTTTTTATAAATATAAAATATCCATCTATCCCCAAAAGCACCCTCATCTCTAAATTCTCTTCCCCCGAAGACCTAAAAAAACCTTCTAGTATTGGCATTTCAGATAACGGGACCACAGTCACTGCTTTTCTACAAAAGGTTTTGGAGTATCTGGTTAATAACGTGCACTGTTTTCTTTAGTCTATTAAACAAAACTGTTTGCTTTTAATACCTAATCAACTCTGAATGACTATGTAAATGATATAAAACCTTAGTAAACATAATTCAAAATTTAGAACATTTTAAAGTACTTGGAGTAATTTTGATTTGCTGGCCTAACTTTTGGCAGGTGATGTACTCTTCTGATGGTTTCTTCCTCAGGCAATACTGGAAAGCTTTGCTCTACCATGTAATGTATCATTGCAGAATGAGGCCGCAAGGCCCAGAGTTGTGCTACACCAAGTCCAGCCAAATTGGAATGAAATTTTTTGTCCAGATGATTTAAAAACAACTAACCACAAAGCAGGAGAGATCCAATCAGGTCTGTGATTTAGAAAGATAATCCCTATACAAGTGAGTAGAGATGTTCTGTGGTTTCCTAATTGAAAAAGTGTGCAACCAAGAACAGGTGGGAGAGTTACAACTGCTTTTAAGAAATCCATGAGAACAGGGAAGCAAGTCATTCCTTTGCTGGTGGTTCTGCCAATGAATCACACTCTC